GCGCTTCGTGGCTGCCCAGCCTCGTGTGCCGCCGGGTTTGTCCCTCCTCCCCGCTGAACAGTGCCTTAAAACTGCTCTGACAATGAAGTTCCTGCCTTGGTTTTTCTCCTGAGTCGTGCCCTCAATTTGCCGTGGGGACTCTGCAGGTTTTGCTCGCTCGGGGTGATGCCCTCCGGCTGCTCACAGTTCTTTGTATTAGCACAGGCAGCTCCGTCCTTCTGTGAGAGCAGTCCTTCTCGGTCCTTGCCATTTTGCTCGCCTTTAAACATGTATCACTGGAAATGGGGATTTTTATATGTAGAATTTAAGGCAAGGGGTCGTGTTTCATTACTGCCTCTTATTAAAAGCCCTTACCAACAGCAGAATTAATAGACTAAGTATTTTTGTTCTTTTCCATTTTAATATTCCTTTCTGTATGTTCCCCTAAACTCTTCTGGGTGTATGAAGTTAGATGCCTGGCTACTCTTCTTTAGATACTTAATTGATGCTGGTAGTTGTACTGCCAAATGTGGAAATAAATTACCTGACCCCAAAAAGATGCTGGTTTCTGCTGTGGCAAAGCATGGAAACAGTCTCCCATTTTTCATTCTAGTGATGTGAAGGATACTCCAGGGTTTTAAATATATCCCAGTAAGTATAAACAATAAATTATATTCTTTCATTTGTTATTCAGGGAAGAGTAATTTAGCTGGCTATTAAGTTTCATACCAACTGTTGATACAGATGGCCTATTGTAAGTTGTGAGAGTCTTGTGTGTTTTAAGAAATGAATACAAAAGGCCTATTTCTTATCTCATCTTCAAAATAAAATGTAGTAATAAGTATGAAAGCCTCAGTCGTAGCTGTCTTTTATAGCCTCTCTCCGCTTTGCTGAAAGCACACAGAGTAAATGAGGCTTTGAGCAACCTGGTCTAGTGGAAGGTGTCCCTGCTGATGGCAGGGGGGTTGGAACTAGATGATCTTTAAGGTCCCTTCCAATCCTAACCATTCTGTGATTCTATGAATACACTTCAGCACTCTTCAGAGTTTCTGTGTTTATCAACTCTACTGCTTGCTGATGATTTTCTTTTGTTGCAATTGCAAGATGAAAACCTCTTATTAATTTTGACTTCTTGATTAGTGCCTGAAAGTTAGGAAAAAAAAAAAAAAAAGCACTCATTCAGAGTTTCTTCCCTCTTTGGGTGTAGATTGGGTATTTCACTCTTGTTCTCCCTTGTTAGGGCTGTAACAGGGAGATAAAGGGATAATCTTGCAAACCATGTATTTTTGCTATCCAGAGTTAAGCATAAAATAAACATTTGTTTAAAATGCAACTTGAAATGCTGGGTAGGAATTGGAAGACTCTGAACTCTGGTCAGCCCTGTTGTCCTTACTTAACATGCACATTTTAATTGGCTATGTTTTGCTATGCACATAATTGAAGTCTAAATCATGAAACATTTCCCTTTGCTTGAATTGCCAGCTATAAAAGTAAATGTAACTGGGTAGATCACCCTTGAATGCAGTGCTAGACTGTTCAATAAAGAAGTATACTTAAAGGGAGTTAAGAGAGTACTGATGTCAGTACTATCAGTACCAAATTAGTTTTATCACATAGCAGAATATGATAGTTGTTCCATCTTTGGAAATAGTCTAGGGTGAAAGCCTTGAAAACTGCTAATAGGCAAGGACTGAGTTTGTATTTTCAAGTGAGTTCTCAGAAAGTGCTAAAGATACAGGAATTTGTCCTCTGCTAGAATGATGCTCTGCATTAAGAGGAATCACAAGTCTGGTTTACATCAGTGCAGTATTTGTTAATATCTCCCAGAGTACTTCCTTAACTGGTAATTAAAACCACAAGGGCAAATACTCTATTTTTTCTTAAATTGTTAAAGCTAAGCTTCTTAAGAGGTCATAATAAAGAATAAGAGCAAAAATATGTTTAAGAAACTTGCAGTCATGGTTCATTTGGCAGTTTTCAACTAATTTTAGTTTTCTGTAGCTAGCTTTTCACCAATGGTGCTTACAGACTCTGAGTCACTAAAAAGATGAGCTGTACTGTATCCTGCTTTGGGCATGGAAAAGATGTCTAGACAGGGTGTGATGGCAAAGTTGTTATTGTAGACAGTGGGTTTATTTTTCTTAAAATATTCTTATGATGACAGCAGTGACAAAGCAATAAGCAATAACAGTTTTCTTAAATAGAACGGGCCTCAGCTGTCTTAGAGTGATTTGTCTACTGACAATGAATGAAGGCACAATATTAGTAGTGTCCCTTTCCAAAAAAGTCAAATGAGCTTTCATAGTATAGGAAGTACTTACTATGAAATGTAACAATAAATGGAAAATATAGGATCTTGGGGAGGTGATGAATTAAAATCTCATCACCTTTCTTAGAAGAGAAGAATTTTTTTCACTCCAAAAGTGGTGTTATATTTGAGGATTTTCCTCAGCTGGCAAAGTCTGGGCCAGGAACTGTGCTTCTGTTTTGCTCCCACTCTCCTTCTAGGGTGCATTTTCACAGACACCCTTCAACAACCATGAGTTTGCACAGTTGTCAAAAGAGATTGCGTCCTCCTTCCAACCAACAGTACTTCCCTGCCTTAGAGAAGCCCCTAGATCAGAGTGAATTTGGATGAAGATTAATCTCTTGGGGTCAAAGGGGTCTGGAAGGTGCACAGTTGTTCGATGTTGCAGAAGAGAAGTAGCAGGTTTACATCAGTTTAAGTTGATGGTGGAGCCGTACTCAAAACTTTTAAGGTGAGACTGGGATCTTTTTGCAGTCAGAGCGTTCTGACTTTCAAGCTTGTGAACCTTTTTTTTATTATTTTTTTTTTTTTATTTTAACCAATATGCTTTTGATGGAAGGATGTTAACTATTCTCCCTTTCTTCCTTTTTAGCTTGGTTTTACTCTTGGCAACGTGGTTGGGATGTATCTGGCTCAGAACTATGATGTAAGTATCCTTGTATAAAGCTAAACCTATTCTGAACTGAACATGTAAGGCTGTTTTCCCTTAATCAGAACTGAATCAGTCTTTATTTTGATGGTTTATTTTATTTAAACAGAATGTAGATCATAGTGACTTTAGTTACAGATGAACTCAAAAGGTAAATGGGAACCAAAACATCTGCCTCTGACATCTTCTCTGTAACAGAGTAATGCTCAGAGCCTTAACTAGTGTAGGGGCCCTAGAGAACAGGTATGGTAAACAGGCATCGACATAGATAGAGACAGGAGAAAGAAAAGGTTTAGCAGCTGCTTAGGTATTGCACTGGCACTAAAATACTGGTTTCCTGACGCTGATACTCTGTCTGTTTACAATGTTCTCCACTCAGTACACCTGTTCGTTACTTAAAAATCCTCCAGAGCACCTGAAATTTGTGTTTTCCATACCAATAATAAAAATAGGCTTTGCCAGCTTTTTCAGAAAATTTAGCACCTACTCCTACTTCAAGCAGTATACAGTATACTGACTTGCATGCAGTCTTTCTTTCCTTCTTTTATCACAGTGAGAAAAAAAAGTTAGTTAACTTTTTTTCCTCAGTTCTTACAGTGAATGGAGATTTTTCACTGTGAGAATTAGAGTAGAAGAAGATTTAGAGCGGAGTCTTCATTGCAAGCTTTTAATTTCTGCAGAGTCAGCAGAATCCCTTGGAAAAGCAGTGCCACTTGGCTGTTTACAGGCTAGAGGAGTTAATGAAATTTACCTTTTTTTTTTTTTTTCCTTTCTTATACAACCTGTAATAGCCTAGTTAAAAAACAAAAAAAAAGCTGTTGAGGCTCAAATCTCTGATGACATTTATGTTTTGTTTTCCTCTCATCTTCAGTATTGAAGTTATCTTTCTTGCAGAATTCTTATTGTTTGCTCCTTGCTCATGTGCAAACTTTTGTGATGCTTCCTGACCAGTCACACCAGTAAGAGTACTAATAAAAGGCTGTTTTTTCTTTCCAACATATGTTTTACAGTGTTATGAAAATTTAGTCGTAAGAACATATTTGGATGTGTCAATATGTATCATAAGCATCGTATAGTGCTTTTCTGGCAACACTGTTAAAGATTGCCACAAGAGGGGGACTTCTGCTTTTGATTTGCAGGAAATGGTTCCCTGGGAATGTAACAGGGATTTGCAGGATGAACATGGTAACTTATTGCTGGTATCGAAGGTGATTTGTTTTAGTGACACCTAAGATAAACTTATCATAATGAGGTCCTAATTCTGCAGCTGTACACACATGTGCTTAGTTATAAGCCCATGGAGGGTTCTGCTGACAACAGTGGAGTTCTCTTGGTTTAGCTTAAATGTCAAGTGTTTTACAGGCTAGGCTCTTAATTTCGTTTGCTCAAACAGAGCTTAACTTTGAAAGGGAAGGTAAGAGAGAAACTTATGATATTACCTATACTATCAGCCTCAAACTATCCAATGAGAGAACTGCAGTCTATTTGGGTTAATTTTCCTTATGCTCTGTGGTCAGGTTACATAAGAAGTAAAAGTCCATGATTTTTTTCACAACTACCAGTGGGGACTTTGCTTTACTTTCATTTCAATCAGTTAGCTTGTAAAATCCTATGTTGTTAATTCTCAGTTTTAGCTAGAGTCATGAGATTATCTATTCCCTGCCCTTAAAACTTTCCTCTTTAAAAAAAAAAAACAAAAAAACAAACACCAACAAACTGTCAAAATTTACTATTGGATTTCTTTATTAAAATGCTTTTATTTGCAAGAGAAAGCTGAAGTTTTGAAATTCACAAGCAGTCAAGTGAATTTGTGTTCAAGTGTGAAACTGCAAAAGTTTACCAGTTTGTAATGCAGTAGAATTCCCCAGTGGGGAATTTTAGTTCCTGCAAAATGGACCAGGAGAAATATTTCTTCATAAATCTCTTGAGACTGTATTTGCTGCTCTTAAACATCTCTTTTCTCTTGGTTGGTGACTGGTATAGTGCAATCTAATTTCCCCTCTGGAAGTCAGTATTAAACTTGGTGCATCAAAACTTAAATCAGCTTCTTCTTGTCAGTTTGTTCTCTTTCATTGAGGAAGCCAGACTGGTTTTACTGAATTTCCTGTGAAGTGATCTTTTTTCCTCCCTCCTGTTCCCATCACCACTGGCTGACTTTTAGTCTTAACAATCTAAAATGTTCCTTAAAGCCTTATGTGAGGTGCTTTCATCTGCTGTTTGCTTGATGTTGCTTTGTTTTTAACCTCTATGCAAGGTGACAGATCCTGGAAGCAAATATCTTTGAGAAACCAGTTTAAACATTATAGAATTTCTTGATGTGTTTATTTTATTGTTTTTCCTGCTAAGGCTCATGTAGCTCAGGATTTTTTGTTAATTTGTGTGGGTTTTGTTTATTTTTTTTGTTTGTTTTGTCTTTAAAGATTCCTAACATTGCAAAGAAGTTTGAAGATTTTAAGAAGGATGTGGAAGCAAAGAAGAAGCCTCCCAGTGACAAGTCTTAAGACAGCAGTGTTACCCAGGTCACCTTTGTGTATGCATCAAGGATGCAATTTACCTTCCGGGCAGCAGCGATCAAGTAGAGGTTTGGCATGGGAGGTTCCTCCACTTTTAGTCTACCAGAACTGGAATGTCCTTCTTTTGAAAGAGCAGCCATGAACTTTTCCTAGGACTGATTTTCAAGGGTTTCAGAATTTGGATTTGCAGCTGAAATGTGACTAGATGAGATCGTTTGTATTTTTCGTTATTGCTTTTCCTAATATTTTGTAACCCATTTTTACCTGATCCAGCTGGAGTCCTGTTAGTCCTGTTACTATGCATACCTCACACTTTGTGATACCCTAGTTCTTGGAACATCGCAAAAGAAATTAAATGCATCAAGAAGTAACTTTCAGGGTTTCTTGTCATTTGTTGTGAGCAGTGATACTTTACTATCCTTAAGATCTGCATCCATTACTAGTTATAGGAAAGTTCCTTTGTCAAACTATGGACCTGGAGGGAAAGGGAGAGCTCCTGCTTTTTCATTTATGTTAAATGATCACTTCCAGCAGTGTAGACTTTGCACAAACATGGCTGATTTGAAAAAGTGTAAAAGCCTATAAATTTAAAACTCCATTTCAAATCAATTATTTCTTCTATTATTGCCTCTTCCTCTTCTTTCCTTTCTGCTTGATTGCTTTGGGATGTCTCTGGAGTGATGGGGAGGATGGGAGAGGGAAGAGTTATCTTCCATATGTGGTAATCGAGGCACATGGAGGTCAGCACTTATGTTGTGAATCCAAACCATTCACTTTATGTACCTGACAGTCCAGTTTGTGTACTTGTTCTAAGTATGCTTTTTTGTTTTTTTACTGCTGTGGAACAAGGGCTAGAGCTCAGTGTTACTGTCAAATATGTTTGGTATTCTCATAACTTCATCATTCCAGTGCACGATCTTCAGCCCATTGCCTTTGTGTTTGTTTCAGTTGTCTACCATGTGTTTTCTTAAGATTAGAACCATTTATCTGCTGTTCTGCATTGTTGTTTGTCTGATGTGCTCCTCTTCACCCACAGCTGCCACTAAAAACCCTGGTGTGTGAGAAAATACACATTGTGTTGTAGCACTGTCCTCTTCGGTTTGAATGGAAAGCAACGTCTGTGTTTGGAAACCATAGTTTTGCACAAATTCTGGTGTAAATTTTGAAGAACATATTGCAGTAATTTGAATAGATGTAAATTTTATTAATTCAACAATCTATCAAATAAAATTTACCTTTTTTTTTTTTCCTGTAAAATAGAATCATGTGGATGGTGTGGGTTGGAAGAGACCCTAAAGATCATATAATTCCAACCTTCCTACCATGAGCAGGGACACCTTCCACTAGTCCAGGTTGCTCAAAGCACAGAACTTACAACTCTGTAAGGTGACTTAAATCGAGTCCCCTTGACAGTCCTTTTGTGAAGGACAAGTAAAAGTACCAGAAAGATATTTTCCTTGCTTTTATTAACAATGCTTGGTGATGGACAGCTATGGAGACGTAGTTGGAACAAGCACAGAGAATGGTCTCCTCCACTCCTTCAGGCTCTTCATTAAAGCATACCTAGAGTGCTTCTCATTAGTGTTAGGATAAGGATTGTGCCTTCAAAGTTAATTGTCCTTTTGCCATGTTTTCATTCTTATTGTGGGAAAACTATAGAGCACATGGACTGGATTCCTTTCAGAAGAGACTAAACCAAAAGATATGCTTTGATCTCTAAAGTTTAGTCAATTAGACAGGCCTAGAGACATTCAGAGAGAAAATATCCTAAGCTTTGGGCACTGACTATTTTGCTCTGTAGACCCAATGGGCTGTGCTGTTTGACACAAACCTAGCATGAAAACTTTTAAGTACAGGGCTCTCCATGTACCTATTGTAATTTTTACCCTCTACCCCAAAGCCTTTAATTCTGATGCATCTGGATTGATTCCAAGCTCAGGAGTTTTCACTGAATCAGCAAAGACACATTTACAGAAAAGCTTAATGCCAAACCTTTGCTTCCTTTTCCAAAGTTTGGTGGTAACAGAGTTCTTCCACAATGCAGTCGTGCAATTGAGGGAAGTATTTATAATCTAAAGATTCTCCTTCTTAAAGAATGTATATATATATATATATATGTGTACATAAGAAATATTTCACCTGTAATTTCCTATCCTTTCTTTCACCATTTGCCCTGAAATGTGTAGCTGACATAAAAGCTTTTATAATTATTTTGTTAAATTTAAGAGCCACCTCAAGTCAATCTTAGTAGCTATACTACCAACTCTTCCTATAGTAAATACTCAGAAAAAACAGAAACAAAAAGAAATAATTTTGACCACCTAACATTAGTTATCAGAAACCTTATAGTATCATTATGTGTGGAAGATGCCAAGAATGTACTTGGTGACGGAACTTCACAAAGTACAGCCATGTTTAGCTGTTACTGAAGTAGCAGTGTACACTAAAAGTGGTTTCTGTTACCTTTCACAGACTTCAGACCAGACTGGAGAAACCGTCTTTCACACACAAAAACTTTCTATAGAGTGAGACAGCACTGCACAGCTGTTTTAGTGCTTCCATCACTCTGATCAACTTAGTTTCCCCCAGCTTCCCTTTGTTGTTTTTTTTTACCCTGTTCTTTCTTTCCTATTTTTGAACAGAGTATTGAAGAATACTGGCTCTAACCCGTTCATATTTCTTTGCTTGTCATATAAAATTATGTTAGTGTCTAAAATGGGATTATTTCTTTCCTCAAGCATGCTTTATATTCAAATACTGTTCAAATATAATACTCAGAATAATATTTTAAATATTAATAATATTTTAAATATTAATAAATAATAATCAGACTCTCTGTATTTGTTGTCAAACAGGACTATGTCATTCTAAAAGTGTAATTTTGAGCTGAAACTTTCAACTGAGCATTCAAAGTACATGTTAGGATTTTTTTTTTTTTCCTATCAGATTATTAAGTGAACCAGCTACAGCTGTAGTGCTGTAGAAACAATGTGTGCTCATTGATATTAAAGACAGGACTTCTTAAGAGATTCACACTGTTTGCAACATTTTCCATTTTAGCTCTTGCTGTCTTTTCTGTCCCACATGGTAACTGGAGAGCTGGATAATATTATAATACTTGTCAACTTTATATCTATGTACAGCAGCTACTGTAGAAGACATTTTGCCTAACTGATTCAGCCTGAGGCTGTCCTAGATGATACTAAAGGTTAACCTTATGTTTCAGAGGGCGGAGAGTACACACAGATAATGACTGTTTGATGCAGACCTTGCATCTGAGGGCTCAGAGGGACTATGGATGCAGTGGTGTCATAGCAGGTCACACAAGATATTAGGAGAAAATTTCCCACTTAATATGGGTACTGTGGATTTCTGCACATTTTAAGTGACTGCGCAGATAGCTGGAATTGTCAGCCAAAATGTGCAGTCTTCCTTTGCTAAAAGCTTTTAGGAGAAATGCAATTATATCCATTTTAATGTATTAATTCTTTTGAGACATGTCCTAGGAGTTGAAGTTTCAAGGCAAAAGGGAAGGAAAGGAATATATGAGCTACTACCAGACTTTTAAAATATTTAGTGTGCCTTGAAACTGTTACTTTGTGGTGGAAAATGCTGCCCTAAGGCTCTTGTAGGCCGTCTTCCATGAAATACAATAAAGAGTTAATACTGAAAATACATGAAATGCCAGATAGCAAAGCTAATTATTAGCTTATTGGGCACCAGAGCTCAAATGAAGGTGGTGGATTTACTTCACAGAACTCCATTATCATGAATGCTCAGTGGTGACTTTTTATATTACAGAACCACAGCCCCTTGTCTCCATCCCTTGACCTTTGTGGCCCTTGGGCAGGACTCGCTGCATTATACCTGAGTGCCTCTTGTACTGGGGAGTCCAGAACTGGTTGCAGCAGTTCAGATGTGTTTTACCAGGGCTAAGAAGATGGGAAGGATCATCTCCTCCCTCAGCCTGTGGATATTTCTCTGCCGATGTAGTTCGGGGTGCTGTTGGCCCTCTTTGCCTCAAGGGCATATTGCTGACTCACATTCAGCTTGTCTACCAGGACCCCAGGTCCTTTTCTACAAAGCTGCTTTCCAGCTAATCTGCTCCAGTATGTACTGGTGTGTGGGATTATTCCTCCCCAAATACAGAACTTTGCATTTCCCTTTGTTGAACTTTGTGAGATTCATGTCAGTGCATTTCTCTGACGTGTGAAGGTTCTTCTGAATGACAGCACAGCCATCTTGTCCATCAACCACTCCTAATTTTGTACTGTCTGTAAACTTGCCAAGGGTGCACTCTCTTCTATTTTCAAGGCCATTAATAAGTATGCCAGTGTTCGTTAATTCGATATTGGCCCTAATATTTTCCCCTGAAGTACACCACTATAGATTGGCCTCCAGCTGGACTTTGTGGTGCTAACCACAGCCCTTTAAGCCCAGCACTTCAGCCAGTTTTTGATCTACCTTACCATTCACTTACCTATGCTTCCTCATTTGTCTGTGAGTTTGTTGTGGAAGGCCATGTCTAAAATCTTACCAAACAACATCAGTTGCTCTCATTTTGTTGTACAAGTGCCAGGATGGTCAGTTCTTGTTCTTTGTGTGTTTAGAAACAGATTTAGTCCATCACCTTCCCAAGGACTGAAGTGTGACTGACCTGCATGTAGTTCCCCAGATCTTCCTCCTTGAAGATAGGAGTGATGTTTGATTTCTTCCAGTCTTCAGGGGCCTCCTTGGATCACCATAACCTTTCTGATACAATAGAGACTGGCCTCACAGCGACGTCAGCCAGCTCCCTCAGCATTTCTTTAGATTTCCTTTGGCAGCTGGTGTGCCTAAAGAGGTCCTTCTTGTTAAAAAATCAGAAGCCAAGGGTGATCCCGGTACAGTCAGTGTCCTCACCAGTGGGCCACAACCCCACAGGTCTGCACACAGCAGGCAGCACCAGTGGCTGGTAGTGGGATCCATTGTCAGCCCCAGGCACAGCAAGAGGGTGAACCAGGCCTGAGGGCCATCCCAGGAAGTCTGTGGAGCAAAATAATTCAGGTCCAGAGAGTTGACTAGAGATGAGGCTACAGCACAGGCTCAGCATCCATCCAAGAGACAAGGCAAAAGGCAGACAGAAGCCTGGAGCTTCAGATCTGTGCTTAAGTGGGGCTCATGGGAAGAAGGTGTGGGTGAGAGTCCCAGGTGAGGCTGGCCAGGGCCATTAGGGCACTCAGGGTCCTGGCATTGGCTTTCGTAACCCGTTCCACTCAGTGAAATCACTAGTATCTCCAGCTGCCTTCTGTGAAGATAGGTTGTACTGCAGAGGAATTACTCAAGGACAGGGAAAAGTTTAATGAAGCCAACTCTTTTTCTTTCTGTCTTT